AGAGATTTCATGAGCAGAAAATAGATACATTGGACATAGAAAAATAAATTAAGAAGATAAACATCCACACAGGCCTTGATGATGGTTAATTTAAACAATCTTTTCACATGTTTGGTATTGCTTCTATAAGGTTTCTTTTCAAAAAAAAGAAAAAAGGAAAAAAAAAAAGGTTTCTAGATTAGGATATCATTTTCTACTTTCATCAGATATTTTATCATTAGCAATTTCATGAGTTATTTCCGTTAGCAGTGGGCTGAACATTCCAATAGTCCTTTCAGAAAGTAGTACGCTTTTTGGAATGTGGCTATTCTGGATGGGGTGCATGGCTAAATGAACTTGATTGGGATTTGACCAATTAAAATACAGCATGTGGGTCCCCACTCCAGATCGCATCCATGCTATTTATGCTTCAATGAAGAGGGTAATGAAGGTTGATGATATGATATCCAAACATTGACAAATGGTTCTTCACTCAACTTAAATGACTTGTCAATGTGAACAGTATCTTTTGGCTAAGAGTTTGTAACAATTGACAATAGGTGATTTCTAGGAAGTAAAAAAGAAAGGGTTTAGTGATAAACAGATAACTTTTGCTACAAAATCCACAGAGAAAGAAGTTTGTTCAAAGAGAGTGTTATAACTGCATATAAAAGAGTTGATACATGTGCTGCCGAGTTTGAGGCTTCTGTGGTTCCATCACCAAATGGAGAGGGACATGTAGTTAATTACACATTCAAATGGTACTTGAGATGTATATATATTACTTGTTTTCAAATGCTAAAGCTCTTCTTGACCAGGTTCTTGAGTCTATAGTTAAAAGCTTGATGGGTCAACCACGGGTTAGAGTACAGAGCTTGCAACAAATTTCTTCCCAGTTTCACGAGGCTCTTAGATTGGGTTCATTTGAAAACAATAATGAAATGTAACTGTAAGTACAAGTTAAATAATGGTTTCATTTGCAACTCCATCTACTGCCACATCACCTTCTTTGTTTTCCACTCCTACCACATTTGCTCCAGTCTCCTCTTCATTTGCATCTTCTGGTGTAGCCCCTCAGACTTCACCTTTTGGTTCATCCTCTGTTTCTACCTCTACTTTTGGCACTTCGGCTCCATTATTTAGTTCAACTCCTCCTTCTGGACTCTCAAATTTTTCAACTCCTTTTGCTACAGGTAACTTTTGAATATTATATCAAATGATCAACTTCAACATTGTCAACTACTGATATCTAGATGACTGACAGGAGAAAATGGAAATTGGTTATTTAGCACAAGAATTTGATTTCATTGTTTTACCCCAGCGCATAATCATTTTTCTTGAAAATTGGTGGGATGCACTGAATTTTAATTCTTTGCTTTCCTATCAAGAAATTATTACCTTTGAAACAACAGGAGCTCCTCTTCATCAAGTTCAGACTGATTATCACATAAGGGCTTAAATGAGGTTATGTGATGTTCAATGCTATCGTAACAAACATAGTTTCCTTCCATTGGTTACCATTTTCTTTGTGTTATTGCAATTGCAACAAACCTACCTCTTCTCATCCTGCCTTATCAACCTATCCGTGTTGCTTTTCTGATTTTAATGGAATGCGTCTATGGTTTGTATCTTGCTACCTGACACGAAAACTGCTATCAACTAATTCTAGGTCAACATCATTTGTACTTTGACTAATTATCATGACAATTTGGAGAGCAAACTTTTCTATCAACTGCATGCTATTGCCAAATGAAGTAATATATGAGACAAAAAAAGTTCAGTATTTCAAATTATATACTAGGTGTTCTACATATGTAATATTTATATTTAACTATATTTTTTTCTTTTTCCCTATTTGAATATCATTCCTTTTGAACTTTTCTTTACTGGATCCCTTTGCGTTGTCCATAGGAGCTGCAACAGACTCAGCAACAAGCTTTTGGACTATTTCAGTGAGTAATTTAATTTTGTATTTTAGTTATATCTAGGCAGGCTGTTCATATCTTTCCCTTCACTTCCTCACCTCTTACTCGCTCCCTGGAAATCTGTCATCTTAAAAGAAAAATATGCTTTACATATGAGAAAAATTGTTATTGTTTATCTGTTGGACATTGTAATGTATGTTGATTTACTGGAGCTGTCTACTGAAAATTGCTTTTTATAGAGAAAAAGGCAAATGAAGATGAATTGTTTGGATATAATCACATAGAACAGATCATTAATTGCATAAGATTGCTCCCATTTTTTTTTATCTAAGCCTCCATTCCGATATCATATCATGATTAGTGCTGAGTCACTTGGGTCAC